TAACAGACACACATAGAATGAAACCCTGTTAGTCAGGGCGTTACAGTTCACGGTGAAATCGTCCGGAATAACACCTTTCTGGATAAAGAAATAATTTTTATTAAATCAGGTCCGTTGTATACAAGTAGATGTTCCAACAGTAGCCAGTGGGGGTCTAACTGTATTTTACTGTAACTAGTAAATTATTATTATGTATTTGTCTTTTAACACAATGGTGTATTAAAACAACATCACATAGGCATGTACACATCATCCCAGACAGAATATTAAACATGTGCTTGTGAACTAAGGATTTTTCTCTTCAAGCCAGGTATATATCATGTACTCCAGCCTACCAGTCAATATTCAACTTGTTACCCAAGTGGCTCAAATAGTTAACTTTCTGGTACAGTTTAACCTCCAGTCATTGCATTGAGGACAAAGAAACAGGATAAGGTAATCATCTTCCAATCATGTTTGTCCATAAGGTGCACCATCTTGCTGAACTGTCCACGGATAGATTCTTGATTCATTTATCGTCAAATTGTATTTCGTACCTAAAAATTATGAAAAACATCTTCAACACATCGGAGCTACGTGAAAGTTTGCGGATGTAACATGATTTGTTCATGTGCAAAATTGACTTGCCTTTGCATGTGTTTGGAGCGGTGCCACTGGATCAGGATACGGTCACCTTTCCACTAACATCTGGTGTCATCACTATTTGATAGTGGTACGATATAAATATTGCCGATGTGGCGTAAACCTTAAACTCACTCATTCGATCGTGATTCATAAAAGTCTAACGGGATCGTTGACTTGGTTCATATATGTGTTCGTATCCCAATGACGTAGATCATAATATCAATAACGTGATTGCCTTGCCTTATTGTGAGTGTAGCGTTAAATAACAAACTAACAAACAAACAAACAGCTTTCTGGAGTTGACCGTCATTCCTGATGAAACACACTGATTGATATTTCTCGATTTTACCTGAGAAAACCATTTCACCTGAGAAAACCATTGTCATCCTCTCACTGGTTGAAATAGCCAGACAGACCCTATCGCCTGAGTGTCACCGGTATATGTTTTATCGGAGATAATGAGATTGTTGCACCCCGCAGAACAGAACTATTAACGTTATACCGCGGCGTGGCAACTTCCCGAATGAGGAGTCCCAAATACGTTGAATGACACCACGAGGAATGGTATTTTGCAGAGTAGAGACTAATATGGAATCGAACCCTCTACTTAAACCAGAAGGAATATGCGATATGTTTATTGGTAAATGTCAGAGTGCCTTTGTATTTTGGCAAAACCCGCATCAATATCTAGCAGACCTCTGTGTTTACACCAATGATAAAGCAATGATAGCATTTTCTTAATAAAAATATGGGTTATTTTCGAAGTCTGGAAATAGGTCTTAATCTTGATATTGTTTTGTTAGTTTAATTTGGTCTAGCCAGCACAAATCAATGAGGTATGTACCAAAGTCACTGGTTTGAGAAGACCACAGCATACCATTTGGGTTGGGATGCTTTTGAGACTGAAAAATGATACTGTCTACACTGCCATATTTCTGAGACATGTGTAAATGTGCTAACCGAAGTAGACAAAATAAATACAAAGTCAGGATTTAGAAATGTGTTTTGCTATTTCAGGGGATAATTCAAGTAGTGCAGTATTAGGTGCTGATATGAGACGGTATTTACGTATATGTTGTTGCAGTTACTGCGTAAGGCACGGCATCCTAAATTCTGTCATGAAAATTGACACGGATATGTTATAGTTTCATACATCCGTAGATAGTTGAAAACTGTTGTTTCTTGAAGATCCTCTCCCGGATTCTCACAACGCAGAACAGACATTCAGCAGCAACTTTGGCACGATGGCATCCTTATCCTTAATCACTAAGTAGTAACGGTAATTGTTTTGGGTCATTAAACCAGACATATTTATATGGAAGCGTACCAGTGCCATGTTCTAAAAAATACATAGATCATTTAAGTAGATGATACTAACATCAGAGAAAACTATACTTACACCACGAAGATGATGCTGCCATCTACGTAGATGACATTATAATCAGCTACGTGGATGTAAGTATGGTGGACGTAGATGTAAGTATGGTGTACGTAGATGTAAGAATGTCGGACGTAGATGTGAGTATGGTAGGCGTAGATGTGAGTATGGTAGGCGTAGATGTAAGTATGGTTGACGTAGATGTAAGTATGGTAGGCGTAGATGTGAGTATGGTAGACGTAGATGTAAGTATGGTAGACGTAGATGTAAGTATGGTGTACGTAGATGTAAGTATGGTAGACGTAGATGTGAGTATGGTAGACGTAGATGTAAGTATGGTAGACGTAGATGTAAGTATGGTGTACGTGGATGTAAGTATGGTAGGCGTAGATGTGAGTATGGTAGACGTAGATGTAAGTATGGTGGACGTAGATGTAAGTATGGTGAACGTAGATGTAAGTATGGTAGACGTAGATGTGAGTATGGTGTACGTAGATGTAAGTATGGTGTACGTAGATGTAAGTATGGTGTACGTGGATGTAAGTATGGTGTACGTAGATGTAAGTATGGTTGACGTAGATGTAAGTATGGTTGACGTAGATGTAAGTATGGTGGACGTAGATGTAAGTATGGTGGACGTAGATGTAAGTATGGTAGACGTAGATGTAAGTGTGGTAGACGTAGATGTAAGTATGGTTGACGTAGATGTAAGTATGGTTGACGTAGATGTAAGTATGATGGACGTAGATGTAAGTATAGTGGACGTAGATGTAAGTATGGTGGACGTAGATGTAAGTATAGTGGACGTTGGTGTAAGTATGTTGGACGAAGATGTTAGTATGGTGTACGTAGATGTAAGTATTGTGGACGTAGATGTAGGTATGGTAGACGTAGATGTAAGAACCATTCTAAACAGCCTCAGCAAACGCCACCTGGTTGTCGAAAATCCAAGATGGCCGCTAAAATGGTTAAAATCTCTATTGATGTCAATTAACATCTAAATATCATAAATAGTTTGTCAATATTAGTCTTTTTTTAAATTAAGTGCAACAATGTTGAATATAATTCACATCTAATATGCAGCTCCCACTGGTGGCGAAGAAAATCCGAGATGGCCACGAAAATGACTTAATCTTCAAAAAATGTCAAATGTCCACAATGTCATTATCATTTGTTCATTGAAAATCATTTTTAGCTTTTGGTACTAAAATTCGTTTATTTGAAGCAAGATCTGTATTCCGTAAGGCAGATCTGGGGAATATATTAGACTGCATGAACTTAGTTTAAATTCTGTAACTGAACTTGGAATTTGATAAAGATATTGGACCAGCACTGATACCTGCCTTTTTTATTCTGAACTAAACGGGCAACACTTATCCGCAGACGTGATTAAAGGTTGAAACAAACTTTCAGGGGAACATATTCTTCTGACTGCCATAAACAGTATTTACCTGCCTCTTTGAAAGCTCTAGTCAGTATGAAATATAAAGGACCAGGTATAAAAAAACAATCCTCAAGCGTTCCAAACTATCTCAGAACATCTTGTCTTCAAAGCGTGAAATGTTGGTGCACCAGCTCATCAACACAAAGACACCACTGAGACCGAGAAATGCAAGTCCCAGTATACTTGGTATTAAACAAGAAACGTGGTCTTGTTGACACATTGTACAATATGGGTTTGTGCATTTAGCATGACTGTCTGGTGTATTTCAACAGATATAGCACAATTTGTGGTGTTTATGAAGACGAAGGTGTTGTATACACACCAACATTCTCAAAAGATAACATCTGTCATAACCCCTGCTCTACAACAGCAACATATCCACTTCATGGTACCAGCATTTCACTGTTACAGCAGTGTCCAAACAGCTGAAGAGGAGGGAACATCACATGTCGTTCTTTTGGCTGAAGAAAGCACACAAACAAGGAAAACCATTTCCAAACAGCCCACAGTGTCTACTAATGTACTCCCATCCTGTTTCAGCAAGATGGGTAATTATGTGCCTCATTTACAAGGACCTTTCACCCAGGATGTAGATAGTGTTAACACAATGCCTGACCATGAATAAAACTGCCCATATCACATGAAGGAAGTACTGGGAAAGCAAGACAAACATATCCTCCAAATTCAGCCGTGATGGCGGCCATCTTGGATTTTTGACCACTATGGAGATCTGCTGACGTGGATCCATATCCAGAAATGTTCGGAATAATTCAATGTATAAGTGTGCCAATTTTGGTGCTTTTAACCCAAAGTGCACAATTTTAGCCTTAACCGCCCCACTACTTGTTTTGACCAGATTGTAGATAAATGTAAATTATATGATGTTCACACAATAATGGATTAATGAATAGGGTTCATTTGTTTCCTAGCAGTCAACTGGAATACCGCCCCCGCCCCCCACTCCCATTTTGTTGTGAGCTTTCTAAAATGATTAGCATTTATGAAAAAACACTGTAAGCATTGCGCGCTCTGAAACTTTTTGAGTTTTTGTATAGAATGTATGGTTGCCTTGTTTGCGAAGGAGGCCTTAAATGCAAACAATCCTTTCGCCTGTGTTTACATCTTTGAGAATTGCTAAAATCAGTATGTGCTTTAATTTCAATAGAACAAACGAATATAATACGTGCTGACGTAGGGCGGTGACAGCGTGGAGCAAATCGTGACGATATAATTTAATTATTTTTCTTTATTAGAGAGAAGGATATTTAAAATGATGTTATACGACCACCCTTTGTAGCAGATGGATTAATATTTGACACACTATAAGATCTAGTAATAATGTTCTCGGTCGATTTCAGACGATTGTCCTCTCAAAGAACACATATCAACTTCCGTGATTGCAAAATTATGAAATACGATATTGGTCTGTCCTTGTAAAAGTAGTTCTGCGTCTAGATTAAATATTAAATACTTCATATTAAATTACTGATTAAATATTAGGTCAATAAAATCCAAGTGTATATAAACAACAGTTAGTTTTGACCAGCCACCATACCTCTTCGGCACGTAGTCAAGGTAAGATTTTAGTCGTCTTGTGCAAATGTTACTTGGTAGATAGTTCAGGATATTCATTCTTGTTTTTCATAGAATGTAACATAAAGTCTGAAGTGAGACTACTTGCTGTTCAGCGTTGCTGCTATACACTGCCAGAATCCGCTGAACAAGAGTTCGAATCTCAGATTGGCTAAGATTGTTATCCGTGGTATAACGCTATAGTTGTGCTTGTGAAACACCCGCACTATTGCTTCCGAAAAGTTCTGTACGTGGGAGACATCCTGAAGATTTGGACTTGAAATGTGTGGAGAGTAGATTATGTATGTTGCCGGCATTAACAGGCTTTTCATACTACTTGTGGTAGAAAAGAACACGCTTATATGTATTATTCTTGTTTGTTTGTTAGTTTGTTTGTTGTTTAACGCCGCACTCAGCAATATTCCAGCTACATTTTGGCGGTCTGTAAATAATCGAGACTGGACCAGGCAACCCAGTGATTGACATTATGAGCTTCGATCTACGCAATTGGGATACGATGACATGCATCACCAAAGTCAGCGAGCCAGACCACCCGACCCCGTCAGCCTCTTACGACAAGCATGGATTGCTGAAGACCTATTCTACCCCGGATCTTCACGGGTCAGATGGGTATTAAATGGACATCCAAAAAGTTACACCATTTAATGCTATTGTCATCTGACTTTACATTGCCCAACATGCATTGCCAAACCACCTTTTAAAATTACACAGTAAGATGTAGACGAGGTTGTATGGTTCGTTGATCAACATCGAACCGAACCTGCATTTGATGACGTGGGATAGACTGTGTCACGAGATATCCTGGTAACGTTTGCTTTGAAAACGGCAATATTATAGTCCATGGTAATTCTCAAACCATTTTCCTACCGTTTCACCTGGTACACTGATTAACAACATTTTTTCATAATAATAGGTACAAATAGTAACACGCCACGCCACGCCACGCCACGCCACGCCACACAAGATCAACATCACACCACGCCACACAAGATCCACACCACACCACACCACACCACACCACACCACACCACACCATGCCATGCCACGCCACGCCACGCCACGCCACATCACACCACACCAAGTCACACAAGATCCACACCACACCACACAAGATTCACGCCACACCAGACCACACGAGATCCACACAACATCACACCACGCCACACCACGCCACGCCACGCCACACCACACCACACAAGATCCACGCCACGCCACGCCACGCCACGCCACGCCACGCCACACTAGATCCAATCGAGACTCTGTTCGCACCAGGGACACAATCGCGCTAACAGTTGAAAGGACATGAGCGCCCATCAGCTTGGTTTGCATTAGGACATAACATATATTCCTCAACCGAGTTATTTTGCAAATTGTAGATGATATGCCATGGAAGGAACGCATTTGGGGGACTGTTTATATTTGTTTTACGGAATATTTTGTGAAAATTCCTGGTCGGTGGTGAAACATGTAATTACATAAGAACAATATGTTGTCACGTGTGTAACGTCAAAATAGCTTGTCTGGCAGGTGTGATCAATTTGCATGAAACTTGTAATGCGTTGGCCATATTCGTCGGAAAACATAATAACGCTTTTCTGATTTCTTTTCTCGTGGAATTCATTTTTTGTAAGTCTCGCCTTGAGCTTGACGAAAAAGCTCTTACTGCTTTATTTCAGGAAATATGGCAATGTTCAACTTCGTGTGGTTGCTGGCAGTAACGCTGTTTGCAGGCCAGGAAGGTGAAGCAATACCCGCAAGTGAGTTATTTCAAATACACGACCCACCCTGTTTCTGTAATGTGAACCTGTGTTCGATGCTCATAAAAAAACCCCAAATAATTAGTATTTGTAAACAACAACAACAATATTAAATGTGACGCTCTCAAAATGTTTAAGTGCTATGTGTATTCTTAACTCAAGTTTGTAAATGTAAAATTGACATAACTAGCGTTGATTGGAAACTTTATTTTGAAAAAGCGTTTCCTTTCATATATTTTCATATTTAACAGTTTTCTAGATTTATTTTACGCTCAAGTTTAAAACGAGTTAGATTATTTCATTATGTCTGCTTGTTTGGCTGGGGTCTGTTTGAAATGAATGAAACACGGTATCAATAATTCAACTGCTCGATTAGCGCAAAGTCCTCTCAAAGTTAAAAGTCCCACGTCTTTGTAATGAACCATTCATCTAGTAAGACTAAGCATTCTCCACATGAACATCTGTGTTAGAATTGGTCTTCAGCAACCTATGGTTTTCCTCAGAGGCTACTATGCACGATTCCGACTTTAGCCTATAAGACATAAAGCCACAATACTTCAAAATCAATGACCAAGTATCATGTATCAAGTATCATGTACCAAGTATCATGTATCAAGTGTCACGTGTCAAGCATCATGTTTCAAGTGTCATGTATCAAGTGTTACAAAACATTAGATGAGGCATTACTTGTGTGTCGTGGTCATATTGATAATTTGCTTTGTAATCAGAATGTCTGCGCGTCACGAGACAAAAATTACCGTATGAATTCATCATGTTCATTAAATGTTTATATGTTTCAGGTCTTTGCTCTGCTCAGAAGAAGGTGTTTCCGAATTTTGTAAATCGATGGCCGACTTTCAATAAGGGTTCGAACCCTACTGATGACACAGTCCTATCCGGTGTATACTCCACACCTGACCAGAGCCATCTTCTGCACTACCCTCCCGGGGTGAACAAATGTGGGGCTGAATATTCCATCTGGAGGAAATGTAAATATAGGTTGACGTTTTCCCCTTTAAAAAATATACACTTGTTTTGAATCTAGGAGAGATTAATATTCCTATCATTTTACTTTGATATTGACAACCCCTTCCGCTGTGTGGTGGTAGATCCTCCGCCCGGAGAGCGTAACAGCGTCTTGCCAACAGGCGTTAAAAAATGCTACCTGTTCTTATCCTGCTTTGCGCTCGGCATTAAGGGACTAAAACAAGGACTGGTCGGCTGGGAGTCGGTATACTGTGTGTGAGTGGTGTATTCATGTTAAACTGCGGCATGGTATCTCAGTGGGCTAGCACTATTAAATCGGCATTAGTCCGTGCTAGTACAAGCAGCCACACACACATGCATGCAGGTATGTATAAATAAGTGCAATAATATTTCACCTCGGCGTACGGAAAATCACAAGGGTAGTCATATCTGTAGCGATCATAAAAAATCCGAGTCCCGTGCTGGGATTCGAACCACGGACCTTCTGATCAGAAGTCGGATGCCTTGTCCACATGACCAAAGAGGTTAACCCCGTCTGCAAGCTGACAAGGTAAGGATGTCATCTGTGGGATGACTCCACGACCTGTTACCTATCTTAAATATATAATGCCCTTATTAAAATATTCAATGTTTAAGTCCTTATGTGTTTTAGACTTTAGAAACAGTGTGTGAGTACAGCGATTTGCAGTCAAGTTTGTCTTCATAATCACCTCGAAAACCTTGAATCCAAATGCATTAGGAACGTTAGTCAATAATTCATTGACCAAGCTGACACTGGTCCGAGGTACTGACATTAAAAATCGCCCTTGCTAGTTGAACTTATTTACATGAATATCAGATCTTGATACCAAGCTTATCAGATTGGGTCATAGCATGTTTCATACATCATATGATAAATTGATACTAATTGATCTAATTGATACAAAACTGGGAACTGATGCGTGTATGGGTATCTACTGGCCTCTATTGTTGTTATATTTTTGTATACGATCAACAAACAAACAGTCAACCTTTAAACAAGCATTCGGGGCTGAGCGTCGCCATTAGCAGTGTAGAGTTGCGTCCCTTGGGAACCTATGAGTGTCGGTTCAAAGCCCGGTTCGACCCGATGATGTTTCTAGCTTTGTCAGCACCATACCTGTGCTCGTGGGTTTCATCAATGTCGTAAACGTCTGAGACCTGAATCCCTTCGGGTTTTCCTCCCACATTAAGCAGACATACCGTGATATACAGTTCAAACTCACTCACTCACTCAGTCATGCACCAGACCGAAGAACATGTCTGACTATGATAGGATTAACCCAAGTGTGCTTACTTATATGTTTTCAGCATATTCTGACGGCATATCGGTGATGTGTGTCCAAAGTGAAGAAAATGAGTGCTTCGAGAGTTTTCGGATCGAGTCAGAAATTTGCGGCTACGCTTACGAAGTGTACAACATTACAACTAATATTCGCGGAAGTGCCTTCTGTCTTCGTAAGTATCGTCCATAGTGTTGTTACGGTATTGTCAGAACGGTGTTGTCGCGGTACAAGTATAGCCGTCCCGGTATTGTTGTCGCGTTTTGTTGTCCTGGTATTGCCGTCCCGGTATTGTTGTCGCGTTTTGTTGTCCTGGTATTGCCGTCCCGGTACTGTTGTCGCGTTTTGTTGTCCTGGTAATGCCGTCCCGGTACTGTTGTCGCGTTTTGTTGTCCTGGTATTGCCGTCCCGGTATTGTTGTCGCGTTTTGTTGTCCTGGTATTGCCGTCCCGGTATCGTCGTGTTTTCAAACAGATGACGAAATATGGTCCGGTAAATAGGCACGATCTTGATAGGCATTTGATACGTAGGTGCAAGAACTGATTGCCAGGAAAGCAACGCAATGCTGGTGGAGCTAATCACCATCACAATATATCTAGAAGAATATACTATGTATCGCGTACACGTGCACCGCATGAACAAAACTAAAACAAATCGCAGCAAACCCTTAGTTTCAATGCACACAAGTATGAAACTTACCCAGATACTGGTGAATTTGGGACCACATAGAGATTACAATATGATTTTCTGTCCGATACCATTTATCTCACGAATTAGTTTCCAAACGTACCTAGATCTATACGCATCGATACGATTAGTTACGCTTTGAAACAACGAGTTGTAAGATAAATGGTATCTGTCAGACACGATTGCAGTAATCTGTTTCTTATACACCCTAAGATCGCATCTTTTTTGCATCGAATCGATGCATTTTGTCTGTCCTCATGATTGCAGGGGCGCATTAATACATAACACCAGGGTCATGAGTGACGTCACCGGAAGTACTGCTTACTCATCATAAATAATGTGACCCTATAGAAAAAGTTTTCCGCTCTATATGTAGATTATCAAAGCGATGATGATTATGCAAACTAGATACAATCAAAGACCCCGAGATAATACTTTTCACCTCAAGAAATTACCTAATATGTACAACATAGTTTACTTCCGTATGACATCACTAATGATGACCGACTTTTGTATACGTGTACACTACGTTGGATATTCAGAGGAGGATTTTCGTTGATCGAGGGATCGTATATACATAAATGTGTCATGTAATTAATCAGAAACAATCTGACAATCTGCTTACTGTCGGTGACTACCTACACCTCGCACCCTACACCTCACACCCTACATCTCACACCCAACACCTCACACCCTACACCTCACACCCTACACCTCACACCCTACCACTCACACCCTACATCTCACACCCTACACCTCACACCCTACATCTCACACCATACACCTCACACCCTACACCTCACACCCTACACCTCTCACCCTACATCTCACACCCTACACCTCACACCATACACCTCACACCCTACATCTCAAACCCTACATCTCACACCCTACATCTCACACCGTACATCTCACATCCTACATCTCACACCCTACACCTCACACCCTACACCCTACCACTCACACCCTACACCTCACACCCTACATCTCACACCCTACACCTCACACCCTACACCTCACACCCTACATCTCACACCCTACATCTCACACCCTATATCTCACACCCTACACCTCACACCCTACACCTCACACCCTACATCTCACACCCTACACCTCACACCCTACACTTCAAGTGGTGATTCCGCGTTTTCGATTAGGTAGTCTTAGTTGTCCCTTGGGCACGCCAGTCACCTTTGCTCGTGGGTTCGAATCTCGGTTCGCCCTGATAACGTTTCTATGTTTGCACCTGTGTTCTATCAGCTCCATGTTAACCACCTGGTTTTCACCAAAGTGGTAAACATCTGATACCTGCATCTTTTCGTGCTTTCCTTCGGGTGCCATACGGCTCTTGCTCAGAAGTTGTTTGATCAAGGCCGCAGTAAAGCTTTCAAAATGTTTATGGTAGACACGTGGAGGACATTTCCAAATTTGTGGCAAGAAGAACGTCTGATGCAATCCCCTATTTACATACCATATGTTTTTCAGGGGAGCAATTGACTTGCCATTGCATGTGTTTGTGATAAGTGCCACCGATGGGGCAGTATACGCTCACCTTTTCGCGAAGACCTGGTATCACCACTAGTTGATAGTAATTCATTAACACATGCTCATGATATACTCGGAATCCTACAATCGACTCTGCTTTCAGTAGATATTTCTATTGAATATGGAAAGGTTTATATCGTTTTTATTCAACATCAAGTTGACACGCCGTGTTATAACTGGCATACTGTTAAAAGCTCACTCACTCGTCCACCGACATACAATTCATCACTATGGTTCATACCGATCATCCGTCCTGGTATGTTACCTATCAGTGGGTGAGTGAGTGAGTTAGGTTTTACGCCGCTTTTATTTAGTAATATTCCAGCAATAGGGGTGGGGGGGGGGGGGGGGGGGGGGGGGGGGGGGGAATTGGCAAAACACATTGTACCCAGATGGGGTATCGAACCCGGGTCTTCGGCATCTGAAGCGAACGTATTAACCACTACCCTACCGCCAACCCTTACCTAACAATGCCAATATGACCAAATCATTGTATTTTCTTCTCCAGAGCCCAATTTCTGTCGCGTGAATCCGTGTGCCGATGGGGTGGAGTGCCGAAATGGCCGAGATGGATTTATGTGTGATTGTGATTGGTTTGAGCGTGGACCATTCTGCAATGGAGGTGAGTACCATTTCGTCAACCCGCCATTGTTAGGATCGATACAGATCCTTCGTTATTCCCTCTTACCACGCATGTTGGGATAGTTTGATGTGTGCCTAAATCTGATATCGTAAGACAGTTTATCACTAATCTTGTAACAAAAAGGATTATATGAATGCATATAAATGTAGCATCAAAATTATATATGGCATAGACACATGCACGATGAAAACACTTGTTTTACTGATCTCCCCACCCCCAAAAACAACTAGCTTTTGTAAGCACTAAATTGAAATATGGTGTATAAATTGTCATGATGAAAACATTATACATTTCAGATCCTTGCGAAAACTATAGACAATTACCCGATATGGACAAGCGGGTAGTGAATTACACTGATTATTTCACGGATGATTATCTCCAAAATGGGTGGTACGTTGCTCCACCAGGAATGGAAACTTTAACCACAAAGCCAGCCTCTACCCCTGCTTGTGGATCCCACAACCCACTTTTTAGCGGAGGTTAGTTGGGAACCTACCATGCAATTTCTATAAGGAATTGGAGTGTGTGTGTGTGTGTGTGTGTGTGTGTGTGTGTGTGTGTGTGTGTGTGTGTGTGTGTGTGTGTGTGTGTTTGTGTGTGAGGGGGGCTGTATGCAAGAGAGAGCCTAACAATTCACTCTGCACCATTAAAATCCTCGTTAGAATTGGTCTTCAGCAACATTTGCTTGTCCTAAGAGGCCTCTATCTTGTCATAAGAGGCGACTAACGGGATCGGGTTGTCAGTTTCGCTGAGTTGGTTGACATTTGTCATCGTATCCAATTTGCGTAGATCGAATATCATGATGTGAATCACTGGATTGTAGTTCCAGACTTGTTTATTCACAGACCGACGTCATATAGCTGGAATATTGCTGAGTGCGGCATTAACAAACAAACAAACAAACAAACAAAAACAAAAAAAACAAAACAATGTGCATGCGTGCCAAGAAGACGGGGAGGGGTCAAATTCCAGATATGCCAGATTTTGTTTCTTGGTTTGTCGGCAACATACCTGCGTGGGTGTCATCAAAGTGGGAAACGCATTAGACCCGCATCACGTCGGGGTTTGAACCTACATCAAGTGATATCACTGATAATACTGTTCAAATTCACTCATGGATACTGGAAAATGAAAATGATAAGGCTTGAGGTCACACATTTATAAGAGCTATTGGATTGACATTGATAAGTCCAGTTTGTTAAAGTCTTTACAATATGTTCATATAATACTCTTCTCGAATGTTATTGATACTTACCTCTAGTCACTTGTGAAATATAAATCGTTATTGCGTTATATCTGTGCATTCGTAGAAGAAGTAAAGAAGTAAACTTACCTCAGCACTACAGATGTCATGATAGTATTTTGATTACAGTATTAATCCTGACAATACCATTCCTATTCGTCCTGATTAAAAGGATTTCATGATTATGGAGTAATGTCCATTTGTTATTATGTCAGTAAAATGTTTCCAAAAATAATCTTCCGTACTATGGAATCGCCAGACAAAACAGAAGTCAATCTAGCTGTAATATTCCCCTTGGCTTGCAGGAAGAAGTGAATACGTTGAGCTGATGTGTACGACTGTTGGTCCAGAGCACTGCAATTCGCCATTATTTGTACTAAGATACCAGTGTCCAGGTCCAATGATATTCGGAGTCTTCCATAAAGAAATGGCCGCAACATTCTGCTTTGGTAATACACATTCTTATATAGAATTATTTCATAAAATAGTTTTATCTCCAAGTAAAGGGAAAGAATAATTAATGTTGTAAAGGTTCCGTGTGCAGAGTTATAGTTCTTTAGATGCCAGGATCCATTGTCCGTGAGTATAAGTCTTATTATGAATAATGGACCCGATAATGATCCCTCTTTTGTTAGGATCATACACCTTGGTACTTCAAAATGTCAAACAGCTGTAGCTGGGTTTGTCTTCCCTCGACAATGAAGCTTACTCGTCGTAATATAATTGAAGTGCGGTTAATAGCTGCGTCAAAACCATCTCCCTCGCTCACTACCTTTTCGGGGCTATACGATGGCCTGGTGGTTAAAGATGTTGAGGTGATCAAATGGGGTTTATCGTCGCGTCAAAGATTACAGCGACGTTGTACGTTAGACCATTAGCGCCGAGCGCTAGGCAGGTTAAGTACATGTTTTACCGTCTGTTGGTATGACGCGGCTGGGGATCGAAGCCCGGACCTTTCGCTATCCGGGCAGACGCTCTACCACTAGACCACGGAGACGGTCCCTTGTGGTTAAAAGATTCAGACACGATTGGCCACAATCAGAACAAGTGAGACGCTGTTTCCTGGTGCCCTATCATAAGTTGGGATTATTGTAAAAAGGGGCATATAACTATTTTCATTCACTTATTAATTTATGTCTGGTAAATCGATTCGAGGAATATCTGATCCTCTCGGCACTGCACATGTCAACGTTTTCACGAAGTCCAAAGATCACCATCAATATGTTGGTAATGTTAAAAAATGTCCAAACAACATCACGGGGCACGGGTGGCCAAGTCGTCCAAGGCGCCGTAATTCGCTGTGTAGAGTTGCGTCCCTTTGGCACGTCAGAAATCTTGTATCGTTGGTTTGAATCCCCGTTCACCACGATTGTGTTTCTAGGTTTGTCAGCTCCATGCACGTACTCGTGGGTTTCACCAAAGTGGTAAACGTCTGAGACCTGCATCGTCAGCACAATAGAACCACATGGCTTATATAAGTCAAAGAGGGTGATGGCAGAGTGGTTACACTGAGCTATTTGGCTTATCGTTCACGCCTTTCGCGATCTTTCATCTTTGTTCACACTCTGAACTACTGGTTTACTAGGCCAAGATTCCATTACTCACAGACCGATGGTTAGAGACGAAATTTTGCCGAGTGTGACGTAAAACAATAGTCACTTAATAGTTTTCATGTTTTCCGTGTTGTAGAGTGCCGACCGGAGTTTGTGGATCTGCTCATCATGCTGGACTTATCGTCTTCGGTTGTCAAAGAAGATTATGACACAGTTATGGAGTTCGTTCAGAATATCATCAATAGAACTACAATAAGCAATACAACTAACCAAGTCGCCCTGATATCATTCGGAAGAACAACCCAAGTTGATTTCACTTTGAATAAGTATGACAGCGTCCGAGGGGTCTTGGCGGGCATAGGCTCTGAGAAACGTCTTGGCGGAGGAACACATATGGCAGATTCTTTCAAACTGGCCCAACAAACCATCTTCAAGGAAGCCAACGGCGACCGTCCTGGATTTAAAAACAGGGTTCTGTTCATCAGCGATGGTCGAGTCAAGGATACTGACCTTGCAATGAAATATGCGAGGAAGGTACATGCAGTAGCCGAGGTATATGGAGTTGGCGTGACGGATTCGTTGAATACACGGTTCTTCTATGAATTTGTATCTCAACCGGCGTCTGGCCACGCCATGCACATGTCACCTCAAGCGACAGGGCTGGTAGAGAGTTTTATCCTCACTAACCCCGAATGCTACAGGGAATAATCAGGATGTCGATACAAAGCTTTCTTCTGTAATTGGCCTAGAAGAAATAAAGCATCTAGCATACCATGTTAATAGTTATGTTATTAATAATATGTAATTAAGGCATGGCTTATTCCAGCAACATCACACTTTGGTTTTATTCTTGGGAACGCATTAATCACAATGCATTTCGCGTTTGAGAGATTTTGATTTGGCTTTCATTTATAATGTTCAGGTTTATAATCAGGTTTCCTTCAGCAGACATAGTAGAGCTTTCGTCAGCACCATCCCCGTGAAAATGTGGGGTTCAAACTGGTCATCCTCGACCTAGGTTTCTCGTAAGAGGCGATTTAATGGAGCATATGGTTAGACTCGGTGACTTGGTTGGTGGGGTGTTACAGCCTCATGATAGCATTCATTGGATTGTCTGGTCCAAACTCGATTCTTAACAGGCCGCCGCACATGGTTGGAATTTGATGAAGCGTTAGGAGTCAGACACATTACCATAATCTGTAGACTACAGCATATCCAAACACTTTCAATTCAATTGTTCGTCATATAGTAATACATGCAGACATACAAGTCTACAAAATACAACCAATACAAACCAATTCACAGTTGGACAAAATCATATGCATTTTGGAGAGATTGGCAATAGCACTAAATACATCAAACGTTTGAATTGTGTTACGCTGTATTCAGCATTAGGTGAGGTGAAATGGGGTTTAACGTCGCGTCCAAGATTATCGCACTTATATAGCGCGCGCGCGCGCGTGTGTGTGTGTGTGTGGCTGCTTGTACTAGTCCGTACTGATGCCGATTTATAGTGCTAGCTCACTGAAATACCATGCCGCAGTTTAACATGAATACCCCACTCAGACACAGTATACTGACTCCGAGCCGACCAGTCCTTGTTTTAGCCCCTTAATGCCGAGCGCCAGAGAGGGTAACAACAAGTACCATCTTTTAACGTCTTTTGGTATGACGCGGTCGGGCATCGAACCCCGGACGCTCTACCTCTAGACCACGGAGGCGGTCCTGAGGATCAGGACCCCAGCCTGAAATAATTATATCTGAACCAGGCATACCAGTGATTGATATCACGAGAAACGTCCGTCAGCATTCAATTTCACACAGGCATGTAAATATATAAGGTGAACGCCAAAGACTAATAGTATCGATCATCTGCCGATACAGATTCCACTGGGCGTAAAAGACATCGTGGTGAAAATTATACAAAAGGATCACTGAAAACCAGTGATAACACCAGGTGTTCTTAAATAGTGTAAGAATGTCATGTCATGTCCTGTAGCACCCGCCACTCACAATTTGTATAAGAAATAAGTGTTTGCTTGTTACCTAACGCCACACATCAGTACAGTCATACAACGGCGGCCTGTAAACAATCGCGTCTTGGAGAGACAATGCAGTGGTGAACCAGACAAACTAGTGATACGATAGCGCGTTTAAGTTAGGTTCACGTCGCTTCGAACAATATTTCAATAATGTCAGACCATGTTAGCTAATACCCTAACGAGTCCCAGGAAAGAACCTCAAGCAGGGATCCGGTCAGTTAGTGAGTGAATGAGAGAGAGTGTGTGTGTGGCTGCTTGTACTAGTTCCGACTAATGCCGGACAGTGCTAGCCCACTGAGATACCATGCCGCAGTTTAACATATTAAATACCCAACCTTGGCACAGTATACTGACTCCGAGCCAACCAGTCCTTGTTTTATTCCCTTAAGACCGAGGTCAAGGCAGGGTAACAACAAGTACCGTATTTTAATGTCCTTTGGTATAATGCGGCCGGGCATAGACACCTTCTGCTCTCCGGCCTGATTTCCAAACGGTGGTACGAAAATGTATCATCCAAAACTGGCTCCCACAGGAGATATCGCTTGGATAAGATCAAGCGATATCTACACTGTAGATATCGCTGCAATAAAATTACATCATAATGGTTTGCAGACCATTGTGATGTCACTGGTTACCATGACGTCACAATCAAATGACATCACTAATGGCAACTGAAGCTGTTTGCAGTACTTTTTACACTGAAGACACTGCTAATTACTGTCTACAAATTGAAAAAGTTGAAAGAATGATGTTGGATGATAAATAAAATCTCACCCGAGTGTCTTTTGATATCAAATATATCAACACTCGTTGATAAAAGTGGCAAAAATCCTCGGCAAGCCTCGGAATTTTTCCACTTTTATCAACTCATGTTGATATATTTGATATCAAAAGACACTCGGGTGAGATTCTCTATGTATCTGAGCGGAGTGTGGGCCAGAGACAAAATACAGCAGAAATGTTTTGTCGCATAATTGAAAACCTACTAATACCATTACAAGCAACCACTCTCTGCAAACCAATACCAATATTTACATCCAAGACATAGGCGCGTGCGAGTATTATTATCCAAAACAAACTATATACCCGTCATAATTTGAATCTAAAATAATATTCGCGTCGCGTAATTTGAGTAAATTATCGTTTTATTTGAATAACTGTCTTCCGCTACGGAAATATATATAAATTGTAATGTATGCTGCATAATTGTGTAAACAATGTTTATAGGTTATTCAACGAGGACGGTGTGTAATTGTTGAAATGACCAACTAACCATTTCAACCGATGCGTGTGGTCTGACCTAGTTCAACCATGGCTAATTCAGAACCAAAAATGATTAACAGGATTGTTTGAATGACAGTTTTTAAAAAAACTGCTCAAAGCGCTACATTCAGATGTCACTCTGGAATTTAACAAGTGAAACTTGTCTATACGGACAAATGAGACATGGTTGAAAGATTGTTATTACCATGGGGTTAGAAATAACCAAACTTAGAAATCGAAAGTTCACTTGTGCAAATAACACTTCAGGCGCACCAGTGCATTGATGACGTCATCCACACGGCATTGTTGACGTCATTCAAATCATTCTATTACGTAAGGTCGGAATGACGTCTCACTAGCAACGACGTCACAGCTGAAGATAATTGAGGTTTCGAATACGGCGGTCGTTGAACAGTGTATTTTATAAAGGGGAGCTCAAAACAGTTAAGAAATAATGAGTAATAAAGAAGTCGTTTCACTCGCATATGTATCATACTTATTTTACGAAAGTCGTGTAAGAATTCGTTTTTATTCTCGCTCTCGTTCTGTAAACTCGGTATCACACACATGCTAGTGTAATAATCTATATTTATTACATCTGCGACTGGAAGAAAAACATCCTGATTATTATTATTTTATCTTATCCAATGATAGTATTTAGTATTTTTATGTTAAATAATGTCTACATAATTATAATTATGCAAAACGAATTTTACAAACGCAAAGCAAACAGAAATGTAACGGCTATGTCACGTTCGTTTTTGTAAAATTCATAAACCTGGACTTATTGTAATTGTAATCCAGACGGATTCAATGTGAAACGTATCGCTCTTGTTCATCCGGTTTCTCTGTACATTGTCATGTAGGCACGTGTATATGCAGTTGATAAATATCAGTAGCATTAGGAGGCCACCAAAGCTCCAGTCTTCTGAGGCGATTCAACTCGCTGTGCTGAGTTGCGTCCCTTGGGCACGGCATAAACATATGAACGTACGTTCGAATTCCAGTTCGCTCAGATCAAATTTCTAGGTTTGTCAGCACCATACCCCGTGGGTTTCACCAAAGAGGTAAACGTCTTAGACTTGCACAACTTCGGGCTTTCTTTCCACATTAGGCTGACACGCCGCGATATAACTAGCATACTGTTCAAACGGCGGCCACGCCACTTTTGCCACGCACTTATACAAATACATATGCCTATGACCACGATCCATGCGGGTGTGAAACGAAATATTACCTACATTTCATCCCAGTCCAAAGTATTAGCCCTTTCCTACCTTGACTGGCGATTTGATCTCTAACCTTGCCAATGATGTCACGTCCAAGTGTCGTCTGCTCTGTGTGTATTGTGAACGTGCCGCTAGAGGGCGCCGACGTATGTACGCCTGCACCATCATGGTCTTTCAAACCAGAAAACGTGACAAGATCTTGAAACAGCGAGCACTGAAACTGAAAAAAAATGTCATCCATTTCCCTTTGCGCTTCGTTCTAACTGGTACTTTCCGACTTCAATTTCGTAGAAAATGGTCGCCGTGTTTAGACCTTCTTGTTGAGGCGGAGACACAAAGTAAGTATAATATGTTATATCTATAGTGATAAGATGGGTAATTGATTGACCGGAAAATGTTTCACAAAGTCAAGGGACTTAATGAATATACGTGAGGTAAGGTGCAAACTTGCAATGTGCATTGAACCTGTTTCTACTGTTGCACGTGCACATTCCCGCACCTTTATGGATATATCAAATTGCTTGCTATACATGTAAGTGTTATATACCACTCAAAAGAAGTTATGGGACAACTCATTCTTTCACGTTATTGTTAAACTGTCATGCCATAGCTAATTAAGAATCAACTGATCCTTAACTATTTTGAGTAGTATACATTACTAGATTTCAAATGGTATATATGCATGTATTATATATGGTACTTATACATTTATCCTTAACGTAACGTTTTCACAAAATGTAAATGTTACATGTTTACAGTTACAACATCAGCAAGATGCTACTTTAAGTTATAATCAGGAGGCTTTCAATGGTATTAAACATACTGTTCCAGGTTGGATAAGGATAATTTCATATTTCTGTAACACACATAAGTGATTCTCATTTTGAGTCAAGAGTACATTTAAGTAAATCTGACATATCTTATTATTCCTATCAAAATTTGAGTAATATAAATATTAACTGATGGGGTAACTGGAGAAGTTATTGCCCAATGTTTGGTGTAATTACTATTTGGTATTTTTTTATTGATTCATTGTCACATACTCATGATAGTCGGAATCGCAAAATCGAATCTGCTTTATGAAGAGATGTCTATTTGATATGGGTGTGAGTGAGTGAGTGAATATGGTTTTACGCCGTTTTTAGCAATATTCCATCAATATCACGACGGGGAACATCAGAAATGGCCTTCACACATTGTATCCATGTCGGGAATCGAACCCGGGTCTTCGCCGTGACGAGCGAACGCTTTAATCACTCGGCTACCCCACCGCCCCTTATTGGATAAGGAAAGTGTTTTGCCGCTTTATTTAATTAATTATATTCAGATCAAATGGTCAGCAAGAAGTGTGACAATTTGTGGCATCTATAGATAGCTGTTCACGTGGAATCTGGATTTGGTAGTGATCCCATTAGCTATCAATTTTGATCTGGCTGTTTTGTAACTTTGAAACTGATATTGTATTTTGAGAAAGTTTGCCCCGAAACGTCAGCATCTTCAGCCGACTCTCGCCATAGGGCTCAATGTCCCCCTGTCTTCGTTTCATCATGAATGCATAACACATACCAGTTGCACACAAAAGCCTTTTTATCTTTTACTCGAAAACATAATGCGGAACACTTCATAAGAAAGTTCGTTCTTCAAAACTGATCAAAGATTTCTAAAATAGATTGTACAACAAATATATTCATAAGGAATGTAAAAATGCTATATCAGTTTCATTTGAATTATCATCAACATTATAAATTTCAGGACAGAGTATGCAGTATTGTTTTTCTTTTTTTTTTCTCCGTTGCCAGATCTCTTGGGGAGAGGTCAGATAGTCATTATATTAGTATTACGTTTACGAAAATGTTTTAACGATCCCTCATCAAATTTGCAATGTTTAACTTTCTGTACCCGTACGAAACGCCGGTTTCCATCTTATATATAAATGGGATACGACAAACTCGTTAATCCGACATAATCATATGCAACCATCGATGTCGGATTAACGGGACTTGACTGTATATGTTTCGTGTCTGAATTGATATGAGTTAAACTTGATTCCGTTTAATCACTAACCATGCAGCCAAATCTCAACACGAACATAATATGCAGGCAATGTATGATACAACATAACCACTTTCACTCCATGTGCAGGATACATCGTCCACAACGACTTTCTCATGAACCTGTAAGAGGGCTATTTTCGTATATCGACACTCTGCTTGTCTAGAATTATTGCAACGCCATATATGTTCGTTGACCCTCACTGTATGTGGAATATTTCAATCAAACAAGACATCTTTATTCCATCAAGTCAAGTGATAATTATCTTTTTACAGCTAACAGAAGATTTCGGCTTTGTTTTGTTTTGGGGTTACTATAACTGATTGTGGCTTATCTGTAATTGGGGAAAAAGGCATTTGTCAATTATGCCAACAATTAAGATTAAAGTAAGAGGCAATACAATCAATAGGCATTGGTTAAATAGTGTCGCTTGTATAAATAATAATCAAATTTTAAAAAACTAAATGTAAAAATACAAAACAAATTTACAATGACGTTTCGCTTACCTCTGGAGATAATTTGTATCTAAATATAACTTGACCTTTGCTGAACCAAAGTAAATTATGTTTTGAACATTGGATGTATTGCTACATCACTTAAGAATGCATCATTGACACTGCTGAGTATAATGGTACGTGTGACTTGCAATTACTCTACCAATCTGCCATCATTGTCGAATTGATAGAACCTGGGACATGGGCATATTCAATTTACCGACTCACAGAAACACTTCGGTCTTTTTCGAAAGCAACACTTTTGACAATTAATTATTTATAAGCTAATTATTTAAAAACTAATAATTTACATCATGGTAATTAACTTTCACGCATATAATCATTTATTTTTTTTACACGTATGGAAGGCGCTATTTTGTTACTAAATCATTTTAAAGTAAAAGATTCAATGGTGGAATTTCAAAAGATTATGATTTGTGCATCTGATATATTACAGCACTTATGAGTTGGACTTTAGACAGATTCTATAAGTTTTGGGCATCATGTCATTCACATTTTCTGCAACATTTGTAAAACCGTTGTGAAATGCAACAAATAAAAATATTTGAAAGAAAGAAATCCAAACACTTAAAAACATTCAAAACAGTTAAGCATATAAGTATATACTATACACGTCAACCTTGGTGTAGATATATGTGTGTTTTTCAGTGGAAACATAATTATTCGTAAACGTTTTAACATATTATCATTTTTCCATGGAAGCGTATTAGTACCAACTCGTGTACACACAGTACTACAAGTACATCAGTTTTCTGCATGCTTCTCTGGACTAAAAGTAAACATCGATAAGACACAGCTTATTTCTATAGGGTACGAAAATTATCAAGAATAAAGCCATGTCCAGAGTGGAAACAAAACTGGACCCAAGGTCCCCTTCACTTCCTTGGAATAGCCTATTGTCTTGAATTAGAAGAAATGATTGATATAAATTATTATTAAGCGTTTTAGAAATCTTCTATCCTGTGCATTTTTTGTGACGAACTTTAATTTACAAATAAATGTCTTGACATACATGGGCATCATAAACTCCATAAAAACATCCTGCAGAAAAGAGGCATCAACTGGACGAATATGAGACCCGTCTTTAATACCTAAACACCTACAGACAATATGAAAACCTCACTCAATATCTTTACAAATGTTTAGTAAGGAAACATTGTGAAAAAATAGATCAACATTCCGCAAAATGGAAAAAAATATGTTACAAGGAGTAACAGACTGGACATGCTACAATAGCGTCCCATTTTGGTACACTTTGGATACTATGCTCTAATTATTTCGACACAAAATTCTACATCACTTTCTGCCTACTAACAGGAAATAATTCAAAATCGGATATATGGACATCAGTGGAACTCTGGCTCTCTAGGAAAAGTCAACATGACCAAACAATATGTTGTGCTTGGCTAACAATTCAGAAGCAATGACCCATCAAATCTTACAATTATTCTTTGCAAAAAAAAGTTATTTTCTAAGTAAAGATACAAAACATATTCGATCCCTCAAGATCCAGTATTATTTCGTTTGAAATGTACAGCTCATGAGTGGGAGTTCAGACAGATTCTATAAATGTTGGTCGTCAAGTCATTCACCTTTTCTTTTACATGGAAGTCATTGTTTTCTTTTTGTAAAAATGCAACAAATATAAAATTGTCACACCTTCAAGACATCACCAGCGAATAATGACCCATTGCCTGTTAGCTTCCATAAACATGAGTGTATACTTCCTTTGCCCAGCAGTGTAGTTTCAAGAAGGATATTTCACTTCATCATCTTCAGGTTTATTTGCACATCGTGATTAGAAAGACATGTCTGCGATAGCACCTGTTAACTTCTGCGTTCACTTAAATCTATTCTCAACAGCCAAGACATTGCTGGTAGCATTTCTGATATATGACACACATTATAATACAGCAGGAGACTGGGAGAGTGTGTTTTTTTTTTTACCGGCACATACCTGTTTAACATGAAAAACGTCCCCGTCTCTATCTCATGATCCGCGGTTCAAGTTTTAAGTCTTTGTAGTCAAATTTCAATTTTCTGGCTAAAAGTTTCTAACATCAACGCTAATAACCACAAATTGAAACCTTATTAACTGTTTCCATCTGATAAAACATCATATGTTCCTGCAGGCTATAGTGTTATCAACCGGCCAATCAGGCCCTTTCAAACTTCTTAAGCCTCGGGTGGATTTCAATTTTTAATTTATCCAATTAAATTCAAGTACAATGTACAAACTGTCAAAAGTGGTCTTTTATACCCGATTAATCAAAGCTCCTTCCACTACCGTTGTGATGCTATTGACAAGAAATCGACAACCCTCGACAATCAATTTGAAGGAGATAGCATACTGTGACGAACACACATGTCTCGGGTCTACACTGAAATTCGTACCTCCTCTTCTGAAATTGACAATACCCACCAATCAGCTTGCGAGAAATAGACAATGAAATGTACACACGCTATTTTATTACTTTTTCGATATTTACAATAACAAGTGGTTGTGATTTTCAGCTAACGAGATGAAATAGATTGGTGGGGGTCATTACAGTGTTTGGAGATTGTCCGATGATGGTCAAGGCATTGTGTCCGAACAGGAGTGACCAGCAATCCATTAGTCGGCTTTTAGTGGACAGTGGTCACGCTGAGAGATCCCTCAGGGCACACCAGACGCAGGTGATGACCATTGGTCAATATTTGGTGGTGGTCAGAGACAGCATCTTGCCAGCTTCTGTCACAGACAGCAGTATTTAGCATTGACCTGCCAAAAC